AAATTTATAGCATGAAATACTGTGTTAGAAAAAAGGAACAGTTTGAAATCAATGATCTAAGCTTCTACCTTAAGAAACTAAAAAGGAAGAGCAAATTGAACCCAAAACAAGCAAATGGAAGGTAAATGATAAAGATAGAGCCAATATCAATGAAACTGAAAAGAAAAAAAAAAAAATAGGGAAAGTCAGTGAAACCAACAGCTGGTTCTTGGAGGAGATTGATGAAACAGATAAACTTATAGCCAGACGACAAGATAAAAAAGACACAAATTACCAATATCGAGAATGAAAAAGAGGACATCACTAAATATCCTTGCAGATATTTAAAGGATGATAAGGGAATATTACAAATAACTTTAATATCTATAAATTTGACAACTTAAAAGAAATTGACAAATTCCTTCAAGGATACAAAATACCAAAACTCAGTCTAAGATGTAGATAACCTGATTAGTCCTATCTCTGTTAATGAAATACAGGTTGTAGTTAATAACCTTCCCACAGAGAGAACTGCAGGCCCAGATGGCTTCACTGGGGAATTCTACCAAACATTTAAGGAATAAATAATAGCAATTCTACATAAGCTTTTCAAGAAAATGCAAGAGGAAGGAACAGTTCTCAACCCATTTTATGAGAACAGCATTGCCCTGATACAAAAACCAGTCAAAAACATTATAAGAAAGTTGCAAACAATATTTTTGATACACATAGAACCAAAGATTCTGAACAAAATATTAGCAAGTCAAATCCTGCAATATATAAAAGTAAAAGTACATCATGACCAAGTAGGATTTATCCGATCGATGCAAGGTTGGTTCAAATGCAGAAATTAATCAGTGTAATTTACCATATCAAGAGACTGTAAAAAAGAATAAAATCATATGATCATCCTACTATATGCAAAAAAAAGAGTACTCATTATCTCTTCATGATAAAACTTCTCAGTAAACTAAGAATAAAAGGGAACTATCTCAGCCTGATAAAAGTCATCTACAAAAATTCCACCACTAACATTATATTTAATGGTAAAAAGATTTATTTCTTTCTAATTAAGAAAGCAACTAATTAAGGCAGGAATAAGGCAAGGATGTCCATTCTCAACACTCTTTTCAGCATCGTACTGTAGATGTCCTACCCAGTACATTAAGGCAAGAGAAAGAAATGAGTGTGTCTACTGGAAAAGAAGAAATAAAATTGTCTCTATTCACAGTGAAATACCACTAAACAGCTATTAAAATGGCTGAAAGTTAAACACACACACACACCCCCACCTGAGGTTATGGAGCAGTTGGAACTCTCATACGTTGCTGGTGAGAATGAAAAGTGGAATGACCACTTTGGATCACATTTGGCAATTTCTTTTAAAGTTAAACATGCACTTATCATACAACTCAGCAACCCAAATGAATTGAGAACATGTTTGCACAGAAACCTATATGAGCATTTTTGTAGCAGCCTTATTCATATCATACAACTCAGCAACCCAAATGAATTGAGAACATGTTTGCACAGAAACCTATATGAGCATGTTTGTAGCAGCCTTATTCATAATCATCCGAAACTGGAAACAACCCACATGTCCTTTAGCTGGTAAATGAACAACCTGTATTACATCCAAATAATGGAATAATACTCAGCAATAAATACAAATGAACTCCTGGTTCATGCAACAACACAAATGGACCTAAAATGCATCATTATAAGTGAAATAAGCCATACTCAGAGGGCTGTGATTCCATTTATATGACATTCTGAAAAAGCAACACTATAGGGATAGAGAATAGATAAATGGTTGGCTGGTGGTATGGGTCAGGTAGTGGGGAGGAAAGGTGAATCACAAAGGGGCATGAGAATATTTTGGAGAAGGACAGAGTTTTTCTGTATCTTTATTGTGGTAATTACGTGATTATTACTAATATTTGCATTTGTCAAAACTCATACAGCTGTACACTGGAAAGGTGAATTTTACTGTATGTATGTTAGAGCCAGTAAACCTAACTTTAAAAAGTTGGACATAACAAAAGAAAAGATCAATGAGCCTGAAAATGGATCAATAAAAATCCAACATGATTTGATAAGATTTAAAAAAGAGAGAGCCTTACAGACCTGTCAAACATATGCATCTTTGGAATTTTAGAAAAAGAGGAGAGAGAACAGTATAGTAAATTATTTGAATAAATATTGGCAAAAAATTCATCCAAATTTGTTCCAAAACAGCCACCCCAGATCGAGGAATTCAATGAACCTTCAGCAGGATGAATAAATGAACAACATATTCCAGGAAACCCTCAGTAGTTTAAAAAATTATTAAAATTTACCAAAAAACTGCTGAAAACAAAAGAAAAAAGCAGCCAGTGAGAGGGGAAAAAAATAACCAAAAAAACTCATATTACATTTGGGAGAGTGTGTGTTGGGGGCAAGTCAGAATGACAGCTGACTTCTCGATGATGTCAAAGTGCTGAAAGAAAAACAAAACACTTAAACTTATTCTGTATTAAGGAGACATCTTTCAAAACTGAAGAAGAAATTAAAAAAAAACATTTTTAGATAAACAGAAGCTGAGAGAATTTGTCACTAGCCAACCTGCACTACATCTTGCTAAAGGAAGTTCTTTAGGTTGAAATGAAATTATACCAGATGGAAATTCAGATCCACAGGAAAAAAGGAAGAGCAGTCTCCTGGCTTAACAGACTATATGTTATCTGTCCCCGTTCTATTGCTCAGATATACTCTTATAAAATGATCTCTTGTACTCACTGTGCCCAGCCCTGTGTTTTTTGTTTCTAATTTTTTCCAAATTCTCTCAAACCCATTAATGGACCCTGAAATCAATCTAGTGGGTTGTGACTAATTTACTTCTTAAGAAACAGAGTAGAGGCCGGCCCGGTGACGCACTGCTACAATGCGCCGCTTGGGAGCGCAGCGGCGCTCCCGCCGAGGGTTCGGATCCCACATACAGACCGGCCGCTCACTGGCTGAGCGAGGTGCGGGCACAACACCGAGGGTTGCGATCCCGTTGCCGGTCCCGGTCCGGTACGGGCGCGACACTGAGGGTTGCGATCCATTGC